TCGTGGCAATTTGGATGACTTTTGTTTGCAAAGAGAGTGGAATAAGAGGGGCTGCCCTACATATTACAGGGCTGTCCATGCACAACCAGCCCTACAATATGCAAGCAAGCCTCGAGCCCCCTTATGCAACTCTCTTCTACGAAGTCCAGAGCATCGAACCTGCCACAGCAGCCTCCCTTGTTTTCACGGACCTCTAGAAGCCAAAAACAACCAATCCTCCAATGCATTCTAGCATGTTGCTTGTTTTGGCTTTTTGTTGTGCTGATATGCAGTGTATATGATTGTGTAGTGTTTTGAGAGATAAATTATAAGGATTATGGGCTTGAGGTTGTAAATGATGTTGTGTCATACTTCCCAACAAAGGTTACCGTTAGGTTTAGTTGGCAAGTGTTTAGGAAAATTAAGGACATTCTAGGTGGGCATTGGAAAGGGATGAAGCGATTCAAAAACTCATGTTTTGGTCATTTTGTGGGGTTGGGAGATAATTGGAGTAAGGCCTTCTGGGGGTAGGGTGCACAATATCTTTTGGTGCACTCTGTTAAATGCAAAAAGAAGAATGAAATGTGGTTTTTTGTTGATGGAAAGTCGATTTGGTTTGGGATGATGGAATTCTGCTTAATGACGGGCCTAAATTGTGGGCCATTTCCAGACATAGAAGTTCAAGAAAGGATAAAGAATAGCAAAGTTCCTGAAACGTTTGTTAGAAAGGTGTTCGCAGGGTAGCAGTCAATTACGGGTCATGATTTAAAGGAGAGGTTAGAAGTGGAAGGAAATCAGTATAGCTCTTCATAAAAGTTTTGAACGTGCTTGGTATGGTTCGTGCATTCAATCTTGATGGCTTGTGACTCAATGAAAGCCGTAAACCAGGATTGGGTGTGATATGCAAGTAACGAGGACTTCTTTTATTCTTATCCTTGGGGAAGATTATCATTTTAGTTAACCATTGATTCCTTGCGAGGAAAAGACATGGCGATTAAATACCGCCAACATGCCAATGAGGGGCAACCTAGTACATATAATTTGTTTGGCTTGCCTTGGGCAATGTAGGTAAATATCAATAGGTTTTGGTTAATTTTTTTATATTATATGTGATTTAATTCTAATATGGATTGTTTTTTTTTTTTATAATGTAGGCTTGGATATATGAGGTTGTCCCTATCTTGGCTAAGGCGCCCGGGGGGGGGGGGGGGGGGGGGGGGGGGGGGGGGGGGGGGGGGGGGGGGTAGATGGAGACTTCGGATGAGGCACCACAATTTCTTAGAATGTTATGGTGGCACACCGAGAAGAGCGCCCATTGGGACTATGAGAAAATAGAAATGGAAATTCAACTAGCTCGAGTAAGATTAAAGGATTTGTGTTTTGAATATGTAATAGATTAAATGGTTTTTGTAAATTTGATTGATTTTTTTTTTCTTTTTGCAGGGAGTGGTCCATCCGTTCATCACTGCTATTGGGGCTGAATCGGTGATGGATTATGTTAAATCATTCAAACCGTTGGACAATGTTTTTTATGAGAAGATAGACCGCCTAATGCGGGACTTAGAAGGAGTCACACATTTGACTGCAGTGGAAGGGCCGCTTGTTAAGCATGTGTTTAAGGCTGAAGGCCAAATAGGTGGGACGAATGAGGAGGAAGACATGAAGGCTCCAATTCGTACGCCTCATCCTAATTGGCAAACCGGTACACCAAGTACCAATTTGCCACCAAGTACTGATTTGTCAATGCATCCTCAATCTAAGTTTGTTGATCTCATAAACGGTCTACACAACAAGTTTGACTTGTTGAGAGATAGTTTGACATGTTAAGCAGCACCGTTTATGAAAAGGTAGATAAATTGGAAGAGGGGGTGCAAAAGGTGGAGGAGAAGGTTTATGTGCTGTTGGAAATGGATGAAGTTCAACTAAAGAAAAGACAGACCCAAAAAAGCAAGTATATGACCTCCCCTTGTATCCAAAGAAGAAGAAAGTTGGGAAAGAAAAGGAAGAAGCTGGAGGAAGTAGGGAAGCTAAACCGACTGATACAGAGGAACAAGGAGGAAGTGGGGAAGTGAAGCAAGCTACTACGGAGGAAGCCGAAGGAAGTGGGGAAGCTAAACAGGATGATACGAAGGAACAAGGAGGAAGTGGGGAAGTGAAGCAAGTTGATACGGAGGAACAAGGAGGAAGTGGGGTAGTGACGCAATTAAAGCTTGATTTCTTTAGGGCAGTAGATGAGGAAGGGGAAAAAAAATCCTTTTATGCCTATTACAATGATAAACGAAGCGATGTGGGTGTGAAGTGAAGTGGTTTGATCAAATTTTGACAATGGGCTACTAGGTTGATGACTCGGTGAGTTATTTTCCCGTATTTTTCCTTTCTTTTTTTTTGCTTATGTTTTCCATAAGGTATTGTGTGATCGCTTAAGCGATTAGTTTTGTTTAACAAATCACTTAAGTGATCTGTTTTGATTTGATGACACTTATCATGTTGTTTTGTTTTGATGCAGCACACTGATGAGGTTTTGGCACTTATGAGGTTGCGACAGAGCACTGATGGTGATAATTTTTATCTGCACTATGCCATAACAAATGTGTCCTTTGGTCAAAGCCTAGTGAGTGTACATGAGAAGTTAATGAAAAAGGCCAAATGATGGAGTTGCAATAAGGGGAGGCAAGCGAAAAAGAATGGCCACAAAGGAGTATGACGGTGTCCTTGCTGACTATCAATTTGATGAGAGGATGATGCAGTATGTGAGGAGGGAAAGGCCCAAATATGGCAAGAGTTGGACAAACGTGAAAAGAGTATATTGCATCGTGAACATCAAGGATATGCATTGGATAATCGTCATCTAGCTATAGGAAGAGGGCTTACTGCAGATCCTTAATTCCAACGAGTATTTTTCGGGAGAGTGATAAGAGCTTGAATGTTGATATTTTGTTAGTGATTTAATTGGTTTATTTATGGAAAAATGTGCTTAAAGTGTGGAATTTGGATTATTTCTTTCATAAATACCATTTATGGGATCACGGGTGTACTTTAAGTGTTTTCAGGCTCAAACAGGTTGTTGAAGGGAAAAGAAAGCTATCGATAGGAGTCACGACACGCAGGAACAAACGGCACAAGAATCAGGGTCGAAATGAGGGAGTTGTGGTACGTCGAAGATGTTCGGAAATCTGGAAATTCTTCCATCATGAGTATGCCTCGTTTTCTACATAACTTGAGCTGTAGAAGTCGGAATTTGACGATTCTGGTGGCGTTGGAAAGCTTATTCAAAGAGCTACAATGTTTGTGGTGATTACTTCATCTAATTCTGAAGTTTACGATCTTTGGATAGAAGGAACGATCGCCGCGGCGATCATTCTTACCGCCGCGGCGATGGGTCGCGGGTGTGTGTTAATTTATTATCCTAATCCAAATCTGAATGGGCCAAGTTTTCTAATATATTCCTAAGCACGACCAAACCAAAGACGGAAAAGAGGATAAAGAGAGTCTTGAAGAAGTTAAGGGACTTGGAAGGGGAAGAAGAGGACGCTACCAATTGGAGAGATCGGGATCCTGACAGCTCTCGTCACCGATTAGAGAAGTTTATCTTTTTCTTAGATTGATGTTATTAACATGAATGATGGGTTTTGTTATTTTGATTATGAACTAACTTTCTTGTCTAGGGCTAGATGTAGCCCGATTTATGAATATGATGTGACTTGAATGGTTGTTCATCCTTATTGAGTTTATGATTCTAAGTTTTATTACTATGCATAATGCTTTCAATTCTCGGGCCCGAGGGTTGAATGATTGTAAGGGTTAGGTTGAGATCGAAGATGAAACCTGATTTGTCTTAGGTAATAAAACCATAGATTAGCGAACGCTAGAGAGAGTTACCGTCATCTGAGGCTCCGGTAAATTCCATAGAGCTTAATGATCTCTTAGCTCCTAACTCCAATTTAGATATCTTGAGTTATTGTTTAAGGGTTATTTGCTAATTGCTCGAGAGAGTTAGTGGATAATAGGGGATTTGGCTTTTAGAATACACTCGATTAGGTTAACAACAAAAGTCAATGTATAGGATTAAATTGGTGTGAAATCTATGCCCTAGGTTTGTCATATGATTTTTACTTCAAAGTGTTTACAAGTTTTACTTTCATTCAGTACTTAATTTTTAGTGGGTAGTTATTTACTTTTTCATTAAAACATCCTTAAACTTCAGTTTAATCAAATAGTAATAGTATATAGTTTGGTACTTGGTAGGTGGTTCCCTTGGGATTCGACACTCGTTTACTCAGTTTTACTACTTGCGCGATTTCGTACACTTGCGAATGCCAGTCGTTTTTGGCGCCGTTGCCGGGGAACTATTATTTTACCAATATCAATACGAAATATTTAGTTGCTAATTTATTTGTTTTTCTATTTACTGATTAATTGTTATTTTTGTTTGTTCTTATTTGGTGTTCAGCTAGAATCTGGAGTTTACGTTCCAGAGGTCGGGTCATCTTAATCCACTTGATTTTGAGATCGAGAGAACCGCAAACAGTTGAGAAGAGAAAAGAACAAGCTGAATCTGAACAAGCAATGGCTATAGAGGAGTTATCAATCCTAATATGCAAATCAAAGCATGAGATGAGGATAATTTGGAGAAAATGCAATGGGTGAGTAGCAGTGGTTCGAGAGCATTGAAAGACTATTCTAGTCCTACTATTGATGGTTGTTATTCAAGTATCAGAGACCACCCGTTCAAGCGAACAATTTCGAGATTAAGCCAGCAATTATTGGAATGATTCAGCAGTCAATCCAATTCGCTGGGTTACCAACGATATCCTACAACCTGCATATCGCAAATTTTCTCGAGTTGTGTGACACATTCAAGCATAATGGGTATCGAGGATGCAATCAGCTAAGGCTTTTCCCATTCTCTCTACGGGATAAAGCTAAGGCTTGGTTGATATCATTGCCATCTGGAGTATCACGACATGGAATGAGTTGGCTCAAGCGTTCCTCACAAGTACTTTCCACCTGCCAAGTCAGCCAAATTGAGGAGTGAGATTACCAACTTTTATCAACAGGATTCAGATCATTGTATAGCATGGGAAGGTTTAAGGATCTTCTACGGAGGTGCCCACATCATGGTATACCGATCTGGTCACAGTGCAAACGTTCTACCAAGTTTGCTACCAAACATTCAAGCCTGATTGATGCTGCAAGTGGGGGGGCATTGAACACCAAAACACCAGAAGAGCATACAATCTATCGAGGTAATGGCGAACAACAACTATATGAGGACTCCAGAAAGAAATTCAGCGAGAGATCAGCGGGAGTGCACGAAGTCGACAGTTACACTGCATTGGCTGCTCAACTTACGAACATCCAAACAATTGGTAATGTATTGAAAATTAATGCAATTGAATCGTCACTCTAACAGTGACCTTTGTGCAGGAAATCATGCGTCAAGCGATTGCCAAGAGGGAAACCATTTTGCTCAACATGAACAAGCCAACTACGTCAACAATTTCCAAAGAGGGCAAGGGAATCCGTATTCCATACGTTAATCCAGCATGGAGGAAACACCCCAATTTTTCATGGAGCAAAACATGAGCAAAAACAAGCACCTGTTTTTCAACCTCAAGAGCACAAATCAAACTTGGAAACTGCATTAACCAAGTTCATTGAGGAGACAAGCAAGAGGTTGAGAAGACCGACGTACTGGTTCAAACCAATCTGCATCTATAAGGACCTAGAGACTCAAATTGGGCAGATTCATAATATATTGGCAGGAAGAGGTCAAGGGGTTTTACCGAGTGATACGGAGAAAAATCCCAAGGAACAGGCACTGCAATCACCCTGAGGAGTGGAAAAAATTTGGAAAATCGCAAGGTGAAAAACAGAGGTTAGAACTAAACCTGAAGGATGAGAAAAAGGACGATCGCCGCGACGAAGATAATGGTCGCCGCGGCGAGCGTGAAAATGCAGAGGAGTCCGTCAGGAAAAAGGACATCGCCGCGGCGTGAATATGGTCGCCGCGGCGAGCGTGAAAATGCACCAATTTCGTCAGAGATATCTCGCGATCGCCGCAGCGATGAATCTGAACGCTGCGGCGACCGTACACATGCACAGAATAATCCTTCAAGACAGGCAACCTTGCCGTATCCACACGGTTGAAGAATCAGAAGCTAGACAAGCAATTCGGTAAGTTATTGACATGTTCCGCAGTCTACATATTAATATTCCTTTTGTTGATATGCTTGAACAGATCCGAAATATGCGAAATTTTTGAAGGAGATCCTCAGCATAAGAAAAATTCGAGGAACGAGAAAGTCATGCTGACAGAGGAATGCAGCGCACTGATTCAAAAAGAAATACCACCTAAACTACGAGATCCAGGGAGTTTCACTATCCCTTGTATTATTGGTAGTTGTTATTTTGATAAAGTGCTATGCGATTTAGGGGCTAGTATTAACTTAATGCCGTTTTCCATTTACAGGAAACTTGGATTGGGGAAAGTAAGCCAACCCATGTCTCTCCAATTAGCTATAGATCGATCACATATCTAGGGGGGTAGTCGAAGACGTCCTGATTAGGTAGATAAACTGATATTCCCTGTAGATTTCATAGTGCTAGATATGGAGGAAGATAGGGAAATACCTTTAATTTTAGGGAGACCTTTTCTGGCCACGGGGAGAACTTGATAGATGTCCACCAAGGAAAATTATCTTAAGGGTAGAGGATGAGCAAGTAGAATTTGACGTATTCAACTCTATGAAGCGTCCGCTGAGTTAGATTCATGCTTTAAGATCGATGTTCTCGCCACTGTAGTGGAGCAAATTTTGAAGAGACTACCCAATCTTGCCTTTAGAGAATGTTTGATGAATTCTAGAGACCAAAGGATGAGGTTGTTAGTGAAGAGTTAATTGAGTGTCTAAGATACTTAAGAGCTTTACCCCCTTAGGTCGTCCCGAGGGTAAATTGATCAGAGAAATTGGAGCTGTGGAGGCTCAGTCAACTTTACCATCATGAAGGCGCCTACACTTGAGCTCAAGCAACTACCATCTCACTTAAGTATAGCATTTTTAGAAGAGGATAAATTCTTTCCAGTCATTATTAATGCTTCTTTGAGTGTTGTAGAGGAAGAAAGTTGCTGCGCATTTTGAGAAGGTACAAGAAGGCCCTTGGATGGACAATTGCAGATATCAAGGTATCAGTCCTTCAATCTGCACGCACAAGATCTTAATGAGAAAGTTTCAAGCCTACTGTCCAACCACAATGAAATTGAACCCATCGATGCAAGAAGTGGTCAAGAGAGGTGTTAAAGCTTTTAGATGCGGGCATAATTTCCAATTTCAGATAGTGCATGGGTGAGTCCAGTTCAGGTGGTACCAAGAAGGAGGAATGACAGTGGCCGGAATGACAACAATGAGCTGATCCCGACACGAACAGTCACGGGATGGAGAGTATGTATTGATATCGCAAGCTGAATTCTGCGACTCGTAAAGATCATTTTCCATTGCCATTCATCGATCAAATGTTAGAGAGGTTAGCAGGCCATGAGTTCTACTGCTTCCTAGATGGATATTCAGGCTACACACTTGACAATAGCGCCGGAAGATCAAGAGAAGAGACGACTTTCACGTGCCCATAGCGAACATTTGCCTATCGAAGAATGCCTTTTGGCCTTGCAACGCTCCTGCAACTTTTCAACTGTAGTCATGATCTCGATTTTTCCGATATGGTTGAGAAGTCCATTGAAGTTTTCATGGACGATTTTTGTTTTTGGAATCTTTCGATGATTGTTTAACTAATTTGTCAATGTTTTGCAGAGATGTGTTGACACTAACTTGGTGCTCATTGGGAAAAATGCCATTTCATGGTACGAGATGGGATCGTGTTGGTCATCGGATATCAGCAAACGGCATGAGGTGGATCGAGCGAAGATTGAAGTTATTGAGAAACTACAACCTCCAATCAGTGAAGGCTGTCAGAAGCTTCCTTGGGCATGCGCTTTTATAGAAGATTCATACAGGATTTTTCTAAAATCTCTAAACCTCTTTGTGAATTATTAGCTAAGGATGTTCCTTTAATTTCAGTCAAGAGTGTTTAGATGCATTTAAGTGCTTGAAAGAAAAATTAATTTCTGCTCCTATTATTGTTGCGCCCGATTGGGAACTACCTTTTGAACTCATGTGTGATGCGAGCGTTATGCTTTAGGGGCTGTTTAGGACACGAAAAGGTAGTATTGCATGTGATTTATTATGCCAGTAAGACGTTAACGGCCCTCAACTGAATTGCCACTACTGAGAAAGATTTTTAGCAGTAGTGTTTTCTATTGATAAGTTTCGTTCTTATGGCTAGGTACCAAGGTTATCGTGTACACGGACCATGCTGCACGAAGTACCTCCTGGCAAAACGGGATTCCAAGCCACGATTATTGCGATGGGTATTACTCCTACAGGAATTCGACTTGGAGATCAAAGACAAGAAAGGAACAGAAAATCAAGTAGGCCGACCATTTATCCCATTGGAATCCAATGAAGAAGATACGAGAGGAAAAAGCCAATCAACGAATACTTTCCTGATGAGCAGTTGTTTGCTATTCAGGAAGACCATGGTTTGCGACATTGGCGAACTACTTGGCAAGAAAGGTTATGCCCCTGGAATGAACTCCCAGAGACGAAAGAAATTTTTTCAGATTTAAAATACTACTTTTGGAGGATCCATTTTGTACAACATTGCGCTGATCAATGTAAGACGATGTGGCCAGAGAGAGGTGACGAATATATTCTCACTGTCATTCTATGGAAGTTGGTGTCATTTCGTTCGACAAAGACCGCGGCAAAAGTTCTTCAATCAGGATTTTTCTGGCCTACTTTTTTAAAGATGCATTCAATTTGTGATGGTTGTGACGATTGTCAACGGGTTGGGAATATTTCTAGGAAAATGCTATGCCTTTAAATAATATCCTAGAAGTAGAATGTTTGATGTTTGGGGATAGATTTTATGGGACCTTTTCCTTCTTCGTTTTTCTAACCGTTTCATTTTGGTTGCTGTAGATTATGTGTCGAAGTGGTGGAAGCTGCAGCGTTGCCCACACGATGCTCGTGTCGTTATCAAGTTCGTAAAGAGAATATCTTTTCAAGGTTTGGCACGCCAAGACCTTATCAGTGATGGTGGCTCTCATTTTTGCAATCGCCTATTCACATCACTGTTAGCAAGTATGGGTTACACATCGAGTTGCAACCCCATATCATCCGCAACTAGTGCCCAAGTCGAAGTTTCGAATAGAGAGCTGAAACGAATCCTGGAGAAGACAGTGAACACATCCGAAAGGATTGGGCAACTAAGCTTGATGATGCCTATGGGCATATAGGACGGTATTCAAAACACCATAGGAATGTCGCCCATAGGTTGGTTTACAAAAGCTTGTCACTTGCCAGTGGAGTTAGAGCATAGGTCGTATTGGGCAGTAAATTTCTGAATTTTGATCTACAAGCTGCGGCGCAAAACGTCTGCTGAAACTTATGAGATGGAAGAGTTTCGCAATGATCCTACGAGATGCCAGATTTACAAAGAAAAGACTAGCAGTGGCTGACAAACACATTGTGACAAGGAATTCAAAGAGGGCGACAAGTGCTCTTGTTCACTCGAGGCTGCGACTTTTTCAGGAAATTACGCTCACGATGTTCTGGCCCATTATCATTCATCAAGTGTTTTCCCATGGGGCATAGGCTAAACCACCCGACGAAAGGCACATTCAAAGTCAACGGGCAAAGATTGAAACCTTATATGAGAATGGCATGCAGACGAGAGGGTTTCAATTCTTCTTCAGAATCCAAATTGATGACAGAAAAGGAGTCGAGCTTAAGACTTTAAACAAGCGCTTTTGGGAGGCAACCCAAATTTTAGATTCTGTTTAGTTTTATTTTATGTTATTTTAATTAATTTTTGTTTTCAGTGCATTCTTTTTAGTTATAAATTTTTTTTTTTTTATTTTGTTAATGCAGGATTTCGGATTGGTTTTCAAGTGACTGACAAAACGCACTCAATATCAGGCAGAAAACTAATCACGATCGCCGCGGCGGTAACTACATCGCTGTCAGGCGAGCGTGATCTAAAGCAACGAGGGACTGCATCTGGATAAA